AAGAGGCGATAGATTTTAAACTTTAATAAGTGGCAAGAGATTTTAATTTTAATAAGCGGCGATAGATTTTAAACTTTAATAAGTGGCAATAGATTTTATATTTTAATAAGCGGCGATAGATTTTAAACTTTAATAAGTGGCAATAGATTTTATATTTTAATAAGCGGCGATAGATTTTAAACTTTAATAAGCGGCGATAGATTTTAAACTTTAATAAGCGGAGATAGATTTTAAACTTTAATAAGCGGTGATAGATTTTAAACTTTAATAAGTGGCAATAGATTTTAAAATTTAATAAGCGGTGATAGATTTAAAACTTTAATAAGCTGCGATAGATTTCAAACTTTAATAAGCGGGGAAAGATTTAAAATTTTGGTGAGCGGCGATAGATTTAAACTTTAATAAAGTGGCAATAGATTTTCTATTTTAATAAGCGGCATTAGATTTTAAACTTTATTACTGGCAATGGATTTTATATTTTAATATGTATGAAGATTTTAAACTTTAATAACATCCAAAGAAGAATTTTATATTTTTCCTGACCTGGCGATAGATTTTAAACTTTTGCCATCGCCGTGGTACATCCATAGATTTTATATTTTAACAAGCGGCGATAGATTTTAACATTTCGTATCAGCTTTTAAACTTTAATAGTACCTAAACTTTTTTTTATATTTTAATTTCATAAATTTACAGTTGAGTTAGCTAATTTTAAAAGTTCTATGCTAAAAAGTTTTTATTCGCGCAATGTTGGCAAAAGATTTTATATTTTAATAAGAGCCGATTGATTTTAAACTTCAAATAAATGTCAATCGTTATTTGTATTTTAATTCCTCTTCCTTTATAGATTTTAAACTTTAATGGAACTCTCTTAGATTTCATGCTTTCCAACCAGCTTTGATCTTTTAAAAATTAAAAGCAATGGCAATCGTTATCTTTTGTATTTTGATTCCTCTTCCTTTAGATTTTAAACTTTAATAAGTGGAACTAGATTTTATATTTTTCATGCTTTCGAGCCAACTTTGATCTTCAAAAATTTAAATGCAATGTCAATCGTTATCTATAGATTTTTATTTTTTAAGCGGCGATCGATTTTAAACTTCTTCCGGCTTCAATACTTTTTGATCTTCAAAAATTTAAATGCAATGTCAATCGTTATCTTGTCTTCTTTATTCCTCTTCCTTTATTCTTCTCACTTTCGCCTGTGGAACTCTTCTGGCTTTTTGCTTTCCAAACTTTGATCTTCAAAGATTTAAATCCAATGTCAATCGTTTCTACTGTCTTCTTGATTCCTTTCCTTTATTCTTCTGAGAGATTGGAACTCTCTTCCGGCTTCATGCTTTCGATACTTTGATTTCCAAAATTTAAATAAATGTCAACTTTGACGTTCTCGCCTGTGGAAATCTCCTGGCTTTCTGTAAATTTCATTTATAAGTTAGTTCACAACATCAGCAGTCTTACTAAAATTTTGATCTCTTGGGAATCAACAGACTTAGGAAGTAAATAATGTAATCTGTAGACACCAGAATTATATTGTTAAAGACTGCTGTAAATATGGCTCCAAATTGTTTCATGAAATCTCTGAAGAGACCGGACCGCATTCAGAGAAAGAAAATATGATAACAATGAAGATATATAAATTTAATCAATTGTGGATGGATTTTTCTTTTTAAGGTCCAAAAGCGGTGATTAGATTTAAAACTTGAAATATCTTGTTAACCAGTACCTGCATAGACAATGGGTTCGAATGCTCGAGGGGAACATAGTTAATCATCCAGCTCAGGTCACAGACAAGCAACTGCCATCTAGTCACTCATAAATCGAGGCGACTGCCATTACTAATCTGAGACAGAAATATTAAATTTTGTATATGATACAATCCAAGCTTCCGTTTTTGGAGTGGTATTCGACGTGTTTTGATAAGATCCTGCTGTCTATCTTCTAAGGCCAGAGCAGGATACTGTTAGACGGTGTATACAATAGCAAGAAGTAAATATTATTTCTGTTATCTTATTAGGTATAAGATATGTCTTTCAGAAATATGATTAAAAAAACAGTAATGTCCGATAATAGTGAGTTTTTCTGCATAAATACTTTTATTCCATTTCTTATCAGCTCTTTGCTTTTATTCCAAGATTTTTTCTTTATACACTCTTAATTATTACTATTATTTATTACAGTTTTATTCCATCTAATTATTGTTGCTTTTATTCCAACATTCTATATACACTCTTCATTATTTCTATTATTTTATTACTAGTTTTATTCCATCTTATTATTCCGTCTTTGCTTTCCAACATTGTCTCTATGATCTTCATTATTAATTATTTTGTTACTAGTTTTATACATCTTATTATTGTTGATTTTTATTCCAACATTTCTGGCTCTATACTCTTCATTATTACTATTATTTTATTACTTCATTTTATTCCATCTTATTATTGTTGCTTTTTATTCCAAAATCAATGTCATTCATTATATTATTTTATTACTAGTTTTATTCCATCTTATTATTGTTCTTTTTTATTCCAAACATTCTGGCTCTATAACTTTTCATTATTACTATTATTTTATTACTAGTTTTATTCCATCTTATTATTGTTCTTCAAAAATTCCAAACTCTGGCTCTATAACTCTTCATTATTACTATTATTTTATTACTAGTTTTATTCCATCTTATTATTGTTCTTTTTTATTCCAACATTCGCCTGTATACACTCTTCATTATTACTATTATTTTATTACTAGTTTTGATCTTATTATTGTTACTTTTATTCCATCACTCTGTCTCTATACACTCTTCATTATTACTATTATTGATTACTAGTTTTATTCCATCTTTATTATTGTAACTTTTTTATCGCTCTATGGAACTTCATTATTACTATTATTTTTTTACTAGTTTTTTCCAGCTTATTATTGTTTTTTATTCAAAATTTAAATGCAATGTACACTCTTCATTATTACTATTATTTTATTAATAGTTTTATTCCATTTATTGTTTGTTGCTTTTATTCGCCTGTGGAACTCTTCATTATTACTTATTATATACTAGTTTTATTCCATCTTAACTTTGATTCTTTTTTCCAACAAATGGCTCAATCTTCATTACTATTATTTTATTACTAGTTTTATTCCATCCTATTATTGTTGTTTTTATTCCAACACTCTGGCCTATAGAGCTCTTCATTATTATTATTATTTTATTTCTAGTTTTGCCAATTTTGTTCTTTTCAAAACTTTAAATACACTCTTCATTATTACTATTATTTTATTACTAGTTTTATTCCATCTTATTATTGTTGCTTTTTATTTCAACATTCTGGCTCTATACACTCTTCATTATTACTATTATTTTATTACTAGTTTTATTCATCTTATTAAAATTTTTTTATTCAAAATTCTGTCGTTATCGCTCTTCATTATTACTATTATTTTATTCTAGTTTTATTCCATTTATTTATTTTTATTCCAACATTCTGGCTCTATACACTCTTCATTATTACTATTATTTTATTACTAGTTTTATTCCATCTTGGGAATTCAACAGACTGGCTCTATACACTCTTAATTATTACTATTATTTTATTACTAGTTTTATTCCATCTTATTATTGTTTTTTTTATTCAACACTCTGGCTCTATAAACTCTTCATTATTACTATTATTTTATTACTAGTTTTATTCCATCTTATTATTGTTGCTTTTTATTCAAAACTATGGCTCTATAACAATGAATTACTATATATTTTATTCTAGTTTTATTCCATCTTATTATTGTTGCTTTTTATTCCAACACTCTTTTCAGCGTGGGTCCAAATTATTACTATTATTTTATTACTAGTTTTATTCCATCTTATTATTGTTTTTTTTATTCCAACACTGGCTCTATACAATCTTCATTATTGCTATTATTTTATTATAGTTTTTATTCCATCTTATTATTGTTGCTTTTTTAGACAACATTCTGCCATCTATACACTTCATTATTACTATTATTTTTTATTACGAGTTTTATTCCATCTTATTATTGAGACTTTTTATTAAATTTTGTATATGACTCTTCATTATTACTATTATTTTTTTACTAGTTTTATTCCATCTTATTATTTTGTGTTTTTTATTCCAATCCTGGCTCTATACATCTTCATTATTACTATTATTTATTACTAGTTTTATTCCATCTTATTATTGTTGCTTTTTATTCCAACACTCTGGCTCTATACATCCTTCATTATTACTATTAATTACTAGTTTTATTATCTTATTAGGCTTTTAAGATATGTCTCTATACACTCTTCAGAAATTATTTGATTACTAAAAAAACAGTAATATCCGATAAGTCTTCATTATTACTATTATTTTATTACTAGTTTTATTCCATCTTATTATTGTTGCTTTTATCCCAACACTCTGGCTCTATACAATCTTCATTATTACTATTATTTTATTACTAGTTTTATTCCATCTTATTATTGTTGCTTTTTATCCCAACACTCTGGCTCTATACAATCTTCATTATTACTATTATTTTATTACTAGTTTTATTCCATCTTATTATTGTTGTTTTTTATCCCAACACTCTGGCTCTATACAATCTTCATTATTACTATTATTTTATTACTAGTTTTATTCCATCTTATTATTGTTGCTTTTTATCCCAACACTCTGGCTCTATACACTCTTCATTATTACTATTATTTCTAATTTCCTTACTGCCTGGCAATTTCACCTTTGAAGTCATTTTCACGACTGCTTTTGTATTTAAAGAAATATGTTTTCTAATATAGTAGTTATGTAAAATGGAAAAACAAATCAAATTTTCACTTTAATCCACTTTCTACCTGCAAAGCGACAGGTACAGAACTAGTTTTTGAACAGAAATAAACTAAATTTTTCTATCAGTTCCATTATTATCGTATATCGAACTCAAATTTTGTTATGGAACTAGTTGTCTTGTCAACCAAGTGAGAAATGAGTTGACTCCGCCTCTCCTCTTAGAACGGGGCTGCACCTAATACTCTCTCTCTCTCTCTCTTTCTCTATCTATCTATCTCTCCCTCTCTCCCTCTCTCTATTTATCTATCTCTCCCTCTCTCTCTCTCTATCTATCTATCTATCTATCTCTCTCTCTCTCTATCTATCTATCTATCTATCTATCTATCTATCTATCTATCTCTCTCTCTCTCTATCTATCTATCTATCTATCTATCTATCTATCTATCTATCTCTCCTCTCTCTCTCTCTCTCTATCTATCTATCTCCCTCTCTCTCTCTCTCTCTCTATCTATCTATCTATCCTATCTCTCTCTCTATCTATCTATCTATCTATCTATCTATCCCTCTCTCTCTCTCTCTCTCTCTGGTGGATGCTTCAAGCTCAAGTATAAGTGAGATCAATGTTTAACTACAGAATCATGTATAAATCCGGCATTGCTGTCAAAGTTAACCTGGTCATTGGTCTCGAAAACGACCTCCAATCTGTGGTTGACTGGGGCAGAAAATGGCTTGTGAATTTTAATGCATCCAAAAAGAAACTGCTGTCATTTACTCACCATAGAGAAACGTCCCTGCCTCCTATCAGCATGGCTGATGCTCAACTCGACGAGAGTGCCTCGTTGTGCCTTCTTGGTCTCAAGTTCTCCACTGACCTGAGGTGGAACAACTACATTGAATCAATTGCTGCATCTACTGCAAGGAAAGTTGGTTCTCTGTGTCGCGCCAGTATGAGTCCATCCTTCATATCTACAAATCTACCATTCGTCCATGCATGGAATACTGTTGCTATATATGGTCTGGTGCCCCAGCTGTTCATCTCGAGGTTCTCGACAAAATCCAAAGATGGATATGCAATGTGATAGGTCTTAACCTGGCATCTCCAGTCACTTTCTCACAGACGTGATGCGGCTTCCCTCTGTCTTTTCTATAAATATTTTCATGGCATCTGGTGTCCCGACTCCATTAATTTAAGCGTTCTACTGGGTTGGCATCTCTGTCCCACCCTTTTACTGTCAAAACAGTTACCGCCTCTTCTACTCCAACAGTTTCTTCTATCGCACTTCCCGACAGTGTAACTTCCTTCCTCTTACTTTCTTCCATGTTAACTATAATCTTCAAAAATGTAATATCAATCGTCATCTTCTGATGCCTTGATCCCCGTTCATTTTTTTTTCCTCCTCCGTTTTTCTTTTTATCCTTTCTTCAAGCCCCCCTATACACAGTTTTTTCACTTACTTACACTCTCTGTAGCCCTCTGTATACTAGTGGCACTCCCGCTTTGCTTAGGGTGAAATTCTTTTTTAAAAAATCCAACAATTTTGCCTTTAAGTATCTGTCTATATTTCTGAGATGAGGTATTATGTACACTATTTACATTATTCGGACTATTGTCCTTATCTTTGTCGCCACATTTATTACAACGTTTCAGCCGTTGTACGCTCCGGCCTTCTTCAGGTGGTTGGAATGTCGAACTTAACCCTTTATTTTGCTAGCTGGGGTAGACTGTTCTAGTTCCACGTGCCATGTCTAATGGATGTCAGTTATCAGTTATCTCCTGTTAATTCCCTCTCCAAGTTCTTCACTGCCTTAACCGGGTATTGAACTCACACTTTTTGGGTTCTGTCACTAGATCTAACTAAAGTCTTTATGCACTGTTCCATGTGTCCTTAGTCTGAATAATGTAAATAGTGTACATAATACCTCATCTCAGAAATATAGACAGATACTGAAAGGCCGAAACGTTGTAATAAATATGGCAACAAAGATGAGGACAATAGTCCGAATAATGTAAATAGTGTACATAATACCTCATCTCAGAAATATAGACAGACTGAAAGATAAATATGAAAGGAGGACAACGAATTGTAAATAAATATGATCTCAGAAAACAAAGATGAAAGGCCGAAACGTTGTAATAAAATAGTCCGAATAATGTAAATAGTGTACATAATACCTCATCTCAGAAATATAGACAGATACTGAAAGGGCGAAACGTTGTAATAAATATGGCGACAAAGATGAGGACAATAGTCCGAATAATGTAAATAGTGTACATAATACCTCATCTCAGAAATATAGACAGATACTGAGAGGTCGAAACGTTGTAATAAATATGACAAAATGAGGACAAAAATAGTGTACATAATACCTCAGGAAATATAGACAATAGTCCGAAACGTTGTAATAAATATGGCAACAAAGATGAGGACAATAGTCCGAATAATGTAAATAGTGTACATAATACCTCATCTCAGAAATATAGACAGATCCTTTATTTCAATAAATGTATCTTAACCTTTTTTTTCATATAATTACATTTAACATTCTTTAATTCCAAATTTTTACGAAGTTATATTGAATTATAAATTAATATTGTCAAAGATTCTGATCTGGTGCACTGAGCATTTGTTTTAATAATTTTCAATTTTTTAAAAGTACATTACACTGAAATTTTTGGTAAATGAAAATGGTATAAATTTCTACAGAAATTGTTCTTATTTTCTTCAATCATACTTTATTGCACTTTCGCGCACCCGTAATTTTGCCTACAGTTTCAAGTATAAATCCAACCAAATTTGCCTGTTGACTCAAGTAAAGTCCGATTAGTGTTCACCTGGAGATTAACGTATCCATCGAATTAATTTTACCTCGAGATGCAAATATAAATCCATTTGTTTATATCCGCTAGGTATGTCATGCAATGATTTCCCTTGACTTTCATCACCTCTATTCGGTCTGTGGGTATCAGATTCTCCAAGCCGCCCTTTCTCATTACGTTTCCCAGATATTTCAGATACCTCTTCCTGATGTTAAGTATAAGCCTCTCTCTTGATTGCATCCTGTCCAAAACCTCATCGTTGCTCACACGCCCGGTCTATGATGTCCTTCGGATCCTTCTTTATAACCAAACCTCTGCTGCCTCGAGTCTCTTCTTCATCTTTGAGGAGACCGTCCAAAATTAGCTGTTGTAAAGGAGGACAGATGCCACGTAACAGCTCAGTACTCTTTCCTTTCTTACCAAAGAAATCCTCCTGTCGCGTAATTCGCTGCCGTAAAGAAGGACAATTAATTGCCTTTTCAGTCATTAATATTTTAATTAATTCCTAAGTAAACGCTTCCTTCTTGTGCCATTTATATCTCTTATGCCACCTCCCCCAGACCACATTCTGCCGTCCACTTGCTTAAGCCCGCCAGGTATGTCATGCGTTGCTTTCCTTTTTTTTCCCTCTATTGGACCTGTGAGTATCAGATTCTCCAAGCCCTCCTTTCTCATTACGTATCCCAGAAATTTCATCTGCCTCCTCCTGATGTTAAGTATAAGCTTCCTCCTTGTTTGTATCCTCTCCAAGACCTCATCGTTGCTCACACGCTCGCTCCATGATATCCTCAGCATCCTTCTGTAGATCCCCATATCCGTCGCCTCGAGTCTCTTCTTCATCTTTGAGGAAACTGTCCAACATTCGCTGCCGTAAAGGAGGACATATGTCACGTAGCAGTTCAGTACTCTTTCCTTTGTTACCAAAGAAATCCTTCTGTCTCGTAATACTCTCCCTAACTTTTGGAATGCTTCTTGGCCATCCCAATACTTCTTCGGATCTCAATTGCCTCGAGTCTGCTTAAGCCCACAAGATATGTCATGCGTTGCTTTCCCTTGTCTTTTTTCCTCTATTCGACCTGTGAGTATCAGATTCTCTAAGCCCTCCTTTCTCATTACAAGTTCCAGAAATTTCATCTGTCTCTTCCTTATGTTAAGTATAAGCTTCCTCCTTATTTGTATCCTCTCCAAGACCTCATCGTTGCTCACACGCTCGGTCCATGATATTCTTAGCATCCTTCTGTAGAACCACATATCCGTCGCCTCGAGTCTCTTCTTCATCTTTGAGGAAACTGTCTAACATTCGCTGCCGTAAAGGACATATGTCACGTAGCAGTTCAGTACTCTTTCCTTTGTTACCAAAGAAATCCTCCTGTCTTGTAATACTCTGCCTGCCTAGCTTTTGGAATGCGTGTTTGGCCATCTCAGGGCGTATTCGGATCTCAGCAGATGCATCAAAGGTGAAGACAGCATAGTCGATGATTTTCTTTCAGGACCAGCCTTATCAGTCACAACTGACCCATGCGAAGAGAAAGTTGTAGAGTTTTCTAAATACAAGAATAACTTCAAGTTATATAACTATCAAACGTCAACCCACAAAAACATCCCCCACCAAGATGATTCATTCCAGAATCTCTTCGTAAAAATATAATCGATATATTTCGCAACTCCTAACAGCCTGGTCCTAATCCAACAGCATTGTTGATAAAGTCACGATAATACTGGTCGAACATAAACAAAAATGGTCAGAGGCTGACAGCTCAGACCAAAGCCTCGCAACCAGATATTATCACTATCACATAATCAAGGATGGAACTCACCGGAAATACATTTTAAAAGACTCTTACTTGAGACAACAGAATATATAAGCCATCATTGTTTAGTGTAAACCTACCGCCATCATAAATTTGAACTGAATATTTCCGACTTTGATGTTAGATTCTCATTTTAAGAAGACTGTCCAACATTCGCTGCCGTAAAGGAGGACAGATATCACGTAGCAGTTCCGTATTCTTTTCTTTGTTACCAAAGGAATCCTCCTGTCTCGTAATACTCTGCCTAGCTTTTGGAATGCGTCTTTGGCCATCCCAATACGTCTACGGATCTCAGTTGCCTTGGGTCTCTTCTTCATCTTTGAGGAGACCATTCAACATTCGCTGCCGTAAATGAGGACAGATATCACGTAGCAGCTCAGTGCTCTTTTCTTTGTTACCAAAGAAATCCTCCTGTCTCGCAATACTCTCACCAGCTTTTGGAATGCGTCTTTGGTCATACCAATACGTCTACGGATCTCAGTTGTCTCGAGTCTCTTCTTCATCTTTGAGGAGACCGTCCAACATTCGCTGCCGTAAAGGAGGACATATATCACGCAGCAGTTCAGTACCCTTTTCTTTGTTACCAAAGAAACCCCCTTCCCTGTCTCGTAATACTCTGCATAGTTTTGGGGATGCGTTTTTGGCCATCCAAATGCGTATTCGGATCTCAGCAGAAGTGTTATACATCAAAGAAGACAACGTATTGCAGATTGTCTTTCATGACCAGCCTTATCAGGCACAATTGACCCATGGGAGCTAACTGCACAGATAGCATAACAAGAGAAGCATGAAGAGATTTCTAAATACAAGAATAACTTCAAGATTCAACCCACCACCGTGACACAAAAAACATCCCCACCAAAACGATTCATTCCAGAATTTCTTCGTAAACATGTATTCGATATATATATATATATATATATATATATATATATATATATATATATTTATAAATAATAAAAAGTTTCTAAATTAAAATAAAATAACAGACAGGAGTTAACGGTTTTTTGCCGACAACATCAAATCTTCGCATTAGATAATTAGCATAAAAACAAACAATAAAATAACTTTTAAATTCAATAGTCTAAATATATAGTTTAAATGCCCTATAAAAAATAAAAAAATAAAGATAACCCTTTATGAAGTCGTCAAAAAAACAAATGTTAGCGACTTACGACAGTTTTTTTTTATATACACAAAACCCTTTCAGAAAATAAAAAATAAAATAAAAAAATAAATAAATCTCCATAGACACTTAACCAGACTAGACGATGTCATCTTCCGTTTTAAATTTAGACACCCCAACCTTACCCTGACTTGACCTCTTTGAATGTAACTGAGATATTGATACAAATTATTAAGCCTTACGCCCCTTTTCTTTAAACGATTGCCCTAGCTGTTACCAGAGGAATTTTAATTTCAATAATGAATATGCTTATAAAACACGTAAATTTCAGGAATAAGTTATTCAAAAAAAAAATTCGCTTGAAGATGGAACAGAGCTTAGTACTTTAATTCAATTTAATTCAAATAATTATATTGAAGTTTTCGGCTCTTGTTTTGAAACATGAGAACTCTTATGTAGCGCTGGAATCATATTTTTAAATAAATAATTATATATATATATATATATATATATATATATATATATATATATATATATATATGTATATGTATAGCGCCATAAGAATAAACATGGCTAATGTTTGCGTATAGACTCTATTATAAACCCGACCTAGATTTAACCTCTCTAGTCAAGTATACTTCCGAGAATTTTTCAGAGACGCAAATATACACCCGGCTAATATTTACCGACAGATTCAAGAATGAACCCGAGGAAAATTTATAGATAACTTTAAGTATAAGTTCGACCAATTCCTAGAGACTTCAGTATTAATATGGTTAATGTTTCCAAAAGACTCGAGTAATAATTAAGTGTAAGCAAAAACATATTTTGGCATTAAATAACCGAACAAAGGTTGATGTGTTATGAAATCCACCAACAGAATCCAATGCAAGACTTATCGAATTGGAAAGCTAACGTCTTGTACAGGCTTAAAAATAGAAAAAGAAAAACTATGACAATAAGACAAGCTTTAGAAAGACGTCATTCGTAGCTTGTTTTCAAATATTAACGGTATTACTAATGGACTTTGAATGTCAGCATAAAATATTTACAATATTCTTAAGCTAATGCATTAGGTCAGCCTCTGTATTGTTGATATAACTCTACCTAATAATCTTTTCACACACATTCAGAAATATCTAAAGTGGTGATTTTCTAAGCACGACTTAGATGTTGCACAAGGCCTAAAGTATAGGGCGCTCAGTGAGGATCGCCCTCACTACTCAGAAGCAACTGATTTAGTGAGACAAGTTTGCTAACCATTACACCATAACGAAGTACCCAAATAAATATCTAAACTGTCGACTCTATAGAACCGCCATATTAGATCAACGATTACAAATGGCTTCCAAAGAACTTCTCTACGTCTTAGTGAAGAGCAACCTTCTTCGAAGTTCATGGACTGGCGTAAACCTGTAAGTCATAGCGAACGTCTTCGAACCTCGTGGGCCGGCGCTACAGAATCCCAAGTGAAGTGCCGTGCCAAAAAAAAGAAGCCATATCACTCAAGGACTTTCATTAACAGCAACAGCCAAAATGGAGAACACATGTTGCTCAAAGAGAAAATAATGACATAATCAAGATGTTGACATTCCACACAACTTCAAATAAAAGAAAGAGCGATAACAGTTAATGGACGCGAGAAACGAATTTTCCTTAAAAATTATTTACGAACACTGGTACCCAAAAACATTTTTCTCTGAGCCGCATTTTCAGAATGAAAATTTGCTCTCGCTTCATCAAATTTTATGCGATAAAAGTGTTTTTTTAAATAAAAAAAATAAATAAAAAAGCCGGTTAATGTGAGATAACCGCGAATTCGAAGTCAGAACATTATCATTGATAACTCTCTTCTCCAACTTGCAGACCCTAGTTACTATATTCTTAATACTTGATATAATGCAAAAATACCCCAATGATAAAATCGATCAATAATTATTTATAACTATTTATAATGGGACTCATGCATGCAATTATACGTACAATAATATTTTAAATTTTGAAATCATATTTATTTTTAGCATATGAATTTTTAAAACTGTTTCTAAATCTTAGATTGCCTTTCAATAATTCTGCCTCACCTGTTATCCTCTTCCGCCTCACATGCTATCCTCTTCCGCCTCACCTGCTATCCTCTTCACCTCACCTGCTACCGTCTTCCGCCTCACCTGCTATCCTCTTCGCCTCACCTGCTACCCTCTTCCACCTCACCTGCGATTCTCTTCTGCCTCACCTGCTATCCTCTTCTGCCTCACCTGCTACGTCTTCCGCCTCACCTGCTACCGTTTTCCGCCTCACATGCTATCTCATTCCGCCTCACCTGCTATCCCGCCTCACCTGCTATCTTCTTCCCCCTCACCTATGACGCGTGCCGCACCGTATGAGAACCATTGTTTTAGAAGAAAGATTTTATTAATTCCAACTAACTGTAACCTCTACCTGCTCTGGTCAAGCAATGACGAATGTTTCCTTATAAGGAAACGGCTAATATAATTGAATCCTCAAGGTATCGGGTCTCTGTTATTTGGTACAGTTCTTTACGATTTTCTAATGCCAGGTCACAATGTTCGAAGAAGTAGAGTCATTGCAAACTCCCTACCCTGGCTCCATTTACTCGAAGCTATCTTTAACCAGAGATCTGAGAAAGTGGTTGTCTACAGCTGAGACCTTTTGATATTTCTGAACGAGTCTAGCACTATGCGTGACATCCATATGAAATCTCAACGAGGCTTCGAGTTGATATGTTTACGTGGCTCCTCATCAGTAATCACCAATCTGATGTTCTGAGTCAAAACTGAAACGTGTGACTAACTCTACAATTGAGTGTATCAAACTATAGCAGTGAAGTTGTTGCCTTTATCTGGCATTCGGACTGGGATCAAAGTGTAGTATCTGCCACCGGGCGGACAGACAACATTTTATCTCTCAATCGTGTTTCTGTCTTCGGACAAAGGCACAATTCAGTTATTTCTCTGGCTTCGGACAGAGCACAACTGAAAACATTATTGAGAGATGCTCGATTGCCTAGGCAGTATTTCCCTCATTGAACTAAAGAGGTGGGCATCGTTATTAATACCGATGCCAGCGCATCCGGCTGTTACGGGTGCTGGGCTATTTTGGGGCCTGGCACGGGTTCCCCACATTAAACTGACCTTGAGTCACACCTTGCCGAAGTGAGGTGACACGTAAATACAATTGAAAAAAAAACATTTCATCTCAGTCTTCGCACAGGTAAATGAGGGATGTCTGATTCCGGGTATTCCAAATCTTCCCCATTGCACCAAAGCAGAAGGGTCGGTGGAACATCGCCCCCAACGGGATGTTGGTTGTGGGGACTGAGCAATTTTTGGCCTTATCCCAGGTGCAAGTGGCTTAGGCTCCCTACTTTAAATCATCCTTGTGCCATATTCCGAGTTAAGGGAAGCCTAGTTCCAGGATTTCTCCCTTTACGGCAGAATCTCCTGTATTACACAAATGATGGAAGTGTAGTGGATACGGACGCCAGTGGTTGTGGGCAGTTTTTTTCCTTGGCCATTATGCACCTGTATGGAAACCCCATATTAAATCTACATTGTGTTACATCTTGCCAACGGATGAAAGTGTAGTATCAGCTCTTCTCTAGTCCTCTTTGTTGTGTTTCAGCTTTCGGAGAATTCAATGATTTGCAGGGAAGGATGTCTAGTCCCAAGGATTCCAACTCCGCGGTAGTAACACTGTTGTGGAATAGCTGAACACCTCCACTACTTCTTATTTTCTAGATGTGCGTCAACCTTTCCTATTTACGACACAACAGACTGATAGATTATAAACAGGCTGATAGATAGATAATGGACAGCCTGTCAGATAAATAGAAGCGTAAAATAGCAGTAAGGCTAACTTTTGTGGAGTAGTTGAACATCCACCCCACAAGATGGACTGATCTAAGACTATTTAAACAGCACTCTCTCTTACTGAGGGAAAGGAATTGGCAGTTAACTGTTTATTATATTAATCTGTGTTCTCAACCGTGTACCATATTATTCGCCAGAACAAACTACTTCTTACTTTCTATATGTGTGCCAAGTTTTCCTATTTACGACACACGTCCTGGGTAAGACGTTAAACTACATGCGCGTCCTGGGTAAGACCTTAAACTACATCCGCGTCCTGGGTAAGACCTTAAACTACGTCCAGCAGCAAGGTCTATGATCAAGAGATTTTGAGGAGCGTGGAACCACCTCCTAATTGCTGGTGTTGCCAGATCCACCCTGACTTCGTGTGGTAGCACCTGTTAGGGTCCCAGCTATGGGCAAATTGTTAACTATTACCAGCAATACGTTTTAGAAAAAAATTATTACCAGCAATACAATTTTGAAGGAAATATATTGCCAGAAACAGATTTTCGATAAAATAAAATATTACCAGCGATAAAATTTTTGTCAGCATTAAATATCCCATTTAGGTTGATATGTCGTAAAACAAAATAAACCAAACGAAACCTATTTACGGCACAACACTAGGTTTTATTATTCCGCATACCAAACTTTTTCGATCAGAATCAGTAAAAAAAATGCTTTTTCCTGGTTTTACTGTAATCTAGTCTCTTTGCTGCACTTAATAATTATATACTAAGTACTTGGTTGTTCTTCTGGTCTTAACTAATGTACCATTATTTTCTGAATGCCTTAATTACTAATTTGACCAAATTGAATTCAAAATGAAAGAAATACAAATCAATCTATATAAATAAATGCGAATGTCAGTGTGTCACTGTGTCACAGTTTTTCAACTTTAGTCCCAGAGGTCGTATCCCAACATATACCATTTTGGCATCAGGCCAACTCCATAAGCAAATTAAAAACAGAGATTTTTTACGTAATTTTTTTTGCGACGAATTTTTGGCACAATAACATTTTTTATAACTTCGAAATAATTTTGGGAATTATCGAAATTAATTTCGAAATCCAGCGAAAGTCACGCATGAAATAAAAATAATTGTTTGTACGGAAAGTAAGGACCTACGTACATCAAATTATCTTTAAATTAAGTGGCGTCAGAAGAATTATCGTTGAACTTTTAAAAGGTAAGCTTAAATATTAATGCAATAATTAAATGCAGCAATCACTTTTTAGTTCCGTACTTTATTGCTGCCTATTGTATATGGCATCAGCATGCCTGGCAAAAAGAAATCTTCCCCAACAGAGGGACCAGATTGCAATCAAAAGAAACAATGTTGTAACGAAGAAAAGAAAGTCCGTGAAAATAAAAACCCTGATCAAACGGCAGCCAGAAGAGCTTCAAGTGCTGAGAATATGCAAAGACTTAGGGATCCTCAAACTCCTGAAGAAGCCAAGGGCCCAATCAAGATCTCTTCGATAGGACTGATCTAAGACTATTTAAACAGCAGTCTCTCTACCTGAGGGAAAGGAGTTGGTGATTAACTGTTTATTACATTATCTGTGTTCTCAACCGTGTATTCTCCGGAACAAACTACTTCTTACTTTCTATATGTGTGTCAACCTTTCCTATTTACGACACAACAATTTTACTGTAAAATGCATCGATTATCAAGAAGGCAATCATTTTCAGTTGTAGGGATTAATAGAAGGAATTGCTTCAGTCAGTCTCTGAGCTGTTTTCCACTTATTGCGTTTCCGACCTATTTCAGTTAATCTCATTAGAGACTCATTTCTGTTCTGAAAGCAAGCATATGGTGTGCTTTGATATTGTCACAAACTCCCCCCCTTTCAGAATACCTTAGAAATTTGTAATGACTTTCTTTATAGACGTCAACTGGGTCCCGCCTTAATTCCCGAAGATTTATTTTGGGGGTTTATGCGTTCGGTAACAGAGGAGATGGAACCCAGATAAGGCCATGTGTACAGACAGCGTCTCGTCTGGTTAGGTAGAGAGCTGCCTGACCCCGTCTATGCGCGAATTTTTTGCCCGAGCTTGCGCACTCGGAAAGATCCACATTAAAAATCAGCCTCGTGCTACATCCCGTTTTGTAAGGAGGTCTCTCAAGTAAATACCGAGGCGTTAACGACTAAACTGTTTGTTATATTAATCTGTGTTCTCAACTGTGTAGCATATTATTCTCCGGAATAAACTACTTCTTATTTTCTATGTGTGTCAACCTTTCCTATTTACGACACAACAGATTGATAGATTATAAACAAGCTGATAGATAGATAGATAATGGACAGACTGTCAAATAAATAGAAGCGTAAAATAGCAGTAAGGCCCACTTTTGTGGAGTAGCTGAACACCCCCACAAGATGGACTGATCTAAAACTATTTAAACAGCACTCTCTTTTACTGAGGTGAAAGGAGTTGGCAATTAACTGTTTATTACATTATCTGTGTTCTGAAATGTGTACCATATTATTCTCCGGAACAAACTACTTCTTATTTTCTATATGTGTGTCTGCCTTTTCTATTTACGACACAACACTAGGTTTCATTATCCCGCCTGCCAACCTTTTTCGATCATAATCAGCTCTGTAGTCACGTCTTCTTTTCTGTCGAAGTCTGAAGTAGTCGTTAAGTTCATTTGGGGTGAAAATTAGTGAAGTTCACCAAACCGTTTGCTGCCACTTTCGCATATTTGCTCAAAGTGTTTATAACCATATTTTGTTGCAATGAAAGATCGTTATAAAATATGTATGTCCATTATCCCCAAATTAATTCCCAGCTAGAAATATAGCTTCTTTCAATTATTCTTAATTGGAAAATAAATAATTCCAGTTGTCAGCCTTCAATAAACATATTTTTCCAATAAAAAAAGCAAAATTTTCTTTAATAAATCCTGTGGCGACAGAACATAAAGATAAAATGTTGCGATTTATAACTTGATAGGAAATTTTTGATTTAGTCAAATTTTACCCAGAATGCAATCCCACTTCAGGATACCTTACAAAATTGTAATGACCTTCTTTATAGACGTCACCTGGGTCCTGCCTTAATTTCCGAAGATTTATTTTGGGGGTTTATGTGTTCGGTAACGGAGGAGATGGAACCCAGATAAGGCTATGTCTACGGACAGCGTCTCGTCTTGTTAGGTAATTTGTTAGGTACCTTGATGGAGAAATTTTAACCAAAATGCAATCCCACTTCAGGATACCTTACAAATTTCTCTAGTCGTTTCAAGGTTGATTAGTTTAGCCTCCAGCTGTATCAAGTACTATTTATAAGGTGGAGATTTGCATGTGAATACAACAATTAGGAAGAGATAGTTGCGGTTTCTGGGGCATATAATGAGGAAAGAGGGCTTGGAAAATCTGATACTCACAAGACAGATGGGGAAGAGAGACAACAACGCATAACCTGCTTAGTGAGCTTGACTAAATGGATCGCTTGGGAGAAATAACAGAAAGAAAATGTTTA